CCCCGGCGCTCTGGGCTGGCCTGAGATGTGACTGGAACCGACTCCCGGCTCTCCCAGGCCCCTGGTGCGTCCTGGGCAGGTCGCTGCAGCTGTCTCAGTGCCCCTCTGTACCTGCCTCCTTCCTCTCCTGGCCTGCAGCAGCTCCCCCCATGGGCCTGGGCAGCCCCAGCCCCACAGCGACCTGCTCTCCACAGGAGCCGTTTGGCGTCATCGGCCCAGTTATACCAGCGCCCCGGGGGCCGCCCAGCAAGGCCACGTTCCTGGGACCCGGAGCACCACGCTGGGGACTCTGCTCGCGACTCCTGGCCACTCCCCCACCTCGCCCCCCCAGGCCTGAGCCGGGGGCAGACCCCTGGAGCGCCCCGACTTGCAGCCCCGCCCCCAGGCTCCGAAACGGCCGCTCTGGCAGCCAGGGAGACAGACAGTGAAGCCCGGCGCCCGGGGGGCCAGGCAGAAGGGTCGGGGGCCATACCGGACAGGCCACGTGCGCCTCCTGCCACGGGCAACCTCCTCTTCCCAGCTCCGGGAGCTGCGGGCTCTGCCGACGGGCTGGGGCAGCTGTGCCCGCGGCTCCTTACCTGCCCTGGGGCGGGCCGTGCTGAGCTCCACGGCTCCAGACCTCGCCTCCGTCAACTGGCTCCAGCTCACCACGTTCCCAGGGAACTTCCATTTCTCTCCGGCGGCTGCCAGCTGCTTGGCAGAGAGTCTGGGGAGGGCTCGGTCCCACAGGTTCACCTCACGCAGCTCCCCCGCGTACGGGCTGCCCAGGGCCGAGCCCCCTGCAAGGCCAGACCCACGCCGTGAGCTCAGGTGCCTGGGGGGGAGGGGCGCAGGCACCTCACCACCCTCGTGGGACAGGCCCCGGGCAGCGGTGGTGCCCATGCCTGACCGGGGAGGGGGCAGGTCACCTGCCCCGCGCTGAGGGGAGAGGAAGTAAAGAGGAGAAATGCCCCTGGCTGAGCTCTGCAACTCCCCGCCGCCACCCCGCTGCTTTGGAGGCTGTTCCCACTGTCACCACCACCAGTACAGCCCCCAGGGGGCGCTAGTACAGACGGGGGGGGGCATGGTCCGAACTTCAGCTCCCGTGTTTTCTATCCTCCTCCCCTCCCCCCGAAGGGCAGGTCCACAGGCCATGCAGATGAAACGGCCGGTGGGTCCCCCCTCCGCTATGCCAACACAAAGCAGCTGCCTCAGGATTAGCAACCCGGAAAGAAAGCAAGCCTGGGGGTGAGAGAAGTGAATGTGTCTGCGGTAAATACAGGGGCTCTATCCCTCCAACACACAACACAAACACAGCAGCACACACACACACACACACACACACACTCCCCACCACCACAGCACACACGGGGGTTGTGTCCCCAACACACACAGCACTTTTCTGGGATAAGGCAACGCCGCATGCAAGGAATGAATCTGCTTTTCTGAAAAAAATGTGGAAAAGCGGACGCGTTCTTTCGCCATCCCTGTAGCCTTGCTGTCCGAGGACGAAGGGACGGCTCGACCGAGCAGGTTTTTCTGAAATTTGGCGCCGTGTGGACGCACCACATTTTGGAAAAGCCTCTTGCGAAAGAAAAGTGGGAAAATGCTATGCAAATTGCGACCCACGATGTGTGTATCTTTTTCCGACTTTTCTTTGTAGTGTAGACGTAGCCATACTCACACTGCAACTCTCCCCCACACGCCATATCAAAACACAAACCAGCTTCTCCACATGGACACACACACACACCTGTACATTCAGCATACACCAACACACCTTGCTATGCAGACACAAGGCTTTATCACTGTGACGTAGTGGGGGGTACCTGGCTGGTTTCTATGCTGCTGGCTCTGGGGTAACCCCCACTGGCTGCCGTGGGGACCACAGACCCGCCAGTGGCCAGACACCCCCCATGGAGAGGAACAAAGGAAGGTGGAATGCTGCCCTGGCTGGGGGGCAGGGCTGGAAGAGGGTTAGTTAGTTGCTGTCTGGGAGCATGGAGGAGACAGCCTAGGGAAAGGGGCTGGAGTTTAGGGGCCCAGTCTCCCCCCATCTCAAGGGGGCCTGAGGCATCCTAGCCCAGCTCTGTGACCAGATTCCATCTGTGCTGTGCTGCATCCTGGAGAGGCAATAACCTTCCTCTATTCCACCGGCTGGTGCAGTCTGTTTGTGCCATTTCGGGGTGCAGGAGACGGGGGACCCCCAACGCGCCATCACAATCACACACACCCCATCACATTCCCCCAGTAACAACAACTCGCTGCATCCGACGCACAACACACACACCGCAGCACCTCATACACAAAACCACCACCAGCGGCTACGTCACAAACAACACACCCACAACCACGCACACCCCACCACAGTGCAGAGCCAACACACACACTTGCACTTAACCGTGCTTGCGAGTTTGCAGCCACCCCATTTGTGCGCCCGTGCCCGCCGGTGCCAGGGCTCAGCTTGCTGCAGCGGGCAGGCGGCACGGGAGCGCGCCCCTCAGCTGGGCAGCCTGCAGGCAGAGAGCTCTGCCCCACAGCTGCGCGTGTCAGGCGGCGGGTGCAAAGGTGGTACCCGCAGAGGGCAGACACTACCCAACCCCCTCCCGCTTGCTCTCGGCTCTGGGCTGCTTGGGGCAGGGGAAGAGCCGCACACAACTCAGCACTGGGCTGGAGGGACCGGGCACTGCCCAGGCACGGGCGCCGAGAGCTGCTCCCCCAGGACGGAGGGTCCCACCCAGGCGCCGGTCTCCTTTTCGGTCCCAAGAGACGTTTGTCAGAACCCGGCCGCCGCCCAGCTCACCTTCATCCACGGCCTCCCGGCATCCGAGGGTCAACTCCCCTCCTGCTACCAGGCCCCTCTGCAGAAACCGGGCGCTGGCTGCGAAGTCTGGCTCCCAGGGCTCCCCGTCGATGAGCACCAGGTAGGGGCTGGCGGCGGGGTCACTGGAGATAGCAATGGCGAGATGGTGCCAGGACCCGTCTAGGAGAAGGCCCGCGGTGCCCCTCAGCATCACAGCCCTGCAAAGAGAGGCAATGGGGGATTGAAGGTTGAGCAGACGCCCAAATGAGTCCCCCTTTCCAGCTGCCCCTCGGGCCTAGCTCCCAGCAGGGCAGGGCCCATCAACTCTTTCGCCACTGGCCCTTGGCCCCGATTGCAATAGGAAGAAACGCACGTGGAAGGCTCAGCGGCGAGTCTATGGCCACCCAAGTTAAGGACAAGCAGATTTTTTGAATCTGTCTGGAGCAGTAGGGAATCTACAAGCAGTGCAGGGCCGTTCTGAGACAGACTCAGCAATCTTGTCTGCCATGATGCGGCAAGGCGCAAGTCTCCAACCGTGCGTCTCTGGAGGGTGAAATAGTTTCATTCCCAAAGGCAGCGCGCGTGGCTTTAAACAGCATCAGTTCAAACATGCTACGCTCAGCAGTCAGGAAACTCAAGAGTTTTAAAAGAGCTGGCTTAGGCGCATTGATGTTCCTGTTCAAACAGCCTTGGACAAATGTGGAATTTCCAGAAGGGGAAGAGACGTACGGCTGTGCCTGTATTTTACCAGGGAAAATCGCTTGAGCGGAGTAGTTAGAGGCCAGTCTACCTGGCACTGATCCCACACAAGGGCATGGAATGGCTGCGAGAGGGGAAAGGCCGGCCCCCTGGCTAACTCTGAGAAGCCCCCCACGTCCCATCCCGCAGAGGGAAGCAGACACCCCCCCACACCTTGCCTAGCCCCGGCCCCGCACAAAGCCACCCCGTGGTGCCGAGGGACTGCACTCACCCTTTGAGCCAAACCTCCAGGCCCGCGGGAGCCAAGAGGGAGAGCGCGAGCTCGGCTGGCCTGGCTCTCAGCACGTAGCTGAGGAGAC